CCTGTAACCCTCGCCACTACAAGAGAGTCTTCGCTGGGAGCAGGCTGAGGGCTTAGGGTACAGGGTTTGGGTATCAGCGGTCGTCCAAGGAGGTTTTGGGTTTAGGGTTGAGGTTTGGTGGACTTTGGCCTGCTTTGGTCGGAAGAGGCGAAGGGTTTAGGCTTGAGGGCTTGAGGGTTAAGGCTTGTGTCAAGTGCGTTTCACTCCCAAAGCCATCATTGCCACTGTCGCTAGGCGTAACATCCAAGTCGGACAGCTCGGAAAGACCAGGCGACCGACTCGGAGATAGTGCCAAGCCGAGCTCTGACGAACTCTCCCCAGATGCGGCAACAGGCTGAGGAACAACTGGGTGTGCTTCTGAAGACGTGTCTGAAACAGAGACAGGTCGATCGTCGTGCATGCCAGGAAAAGTCGCCGCCAATGCCAGCTGCCCAGCACACCACACCTTGTAAGATGCTGACCGAGGAGAGTCGCACGGGTTTCGAGGCGAGGGCGGTCCATTGTCTGCCAGCATCGATGCAAAATGCGCCACAGTGCGAGGGCTATGGTCCACAGCCATCAGGAGAGCACGGACAACTAGACTTAGCAGGTTCCCTGGAACTTTGCCTTCAGGCGTCAGGGTTCATTGTTGTGGCCTGTGGCCGCCTGTGACCTTTGTGCTTTTCTCTGGCAGAGGTCTGGGTTTGCAAGGCTCACCGTCGCAGCTTAAGTGTGGGTACTGCCATTGAGACTAAGTAAGGCTCCTGGGTTGGAGGGCTTCGAGTTGAGAGTGGAAGTTGCGGGCTTGGCACCAGAGAGTGCAGGGCATACATGGTAGGTTTGGCCGCAGAACGGGTTTTGGGTTGAGGGTACAGGTCCGGGCCTTGCGCAAGACAACTCTCTGGGTTTGGGGCGCGGCTCGTTGGGTTTAGGCAGACAGTTCAGGGTTGAGAGTCAAGGATTTGGGCTTGCACAGCACGAGTCCTTTCAGGTTTAGGTGTGTTTAAGGAGCGGTTTTCGGCTTGGGCTGAACGACTCCTTGTGGGCTCAGGGTTGAGGGTTTCCGGGATAGGTTTTGGGCTCCTTGTGGGTTGAGGATCTCGAGTCAAGGTTTTGTGATCCGCCTCGGCGAGAAGGGCATTCGAAAAAAGCAAGCTCCAGCCCAGCGGACTTAATCATCGTGCGGGCATGGATGCTCTGGCCAATCGCACGCACTGGTAACACGGACGTTATCATCGTGCGGGCATGGATGCTCTGGCCAATCGCACGCACTGGTAACACGGACGTTATCATCGTGCGGGCATGGATGCTCTGGCCAATCGCACGCACTGGTAACACGGACGTTATCATCGTGCGGGCATGGATGCTCTGGCCAATCGCACGCACTGGTAACACGGACGTTATCATCGCGCGGGCATGGATGCTCTGGCCAATCGCACGCACTGGTAACACGGACGTTATCATCGTGCGGGCATGGATGCTCTGGCCAATCGCACGCACTGGTAACACGGACGTTGTCATCGTGCGGGCATGGATGCTCTGGCCAATCGCACGCACTGGTAACACGGACGTTATCATCGTGCGGGCATGGATGCTCTGGCCAATCGCACGCACTGGTAACACGGACGTTATCATCGTGCGGGCATGGATGCTCTGGCCAATCGCACGCACTGGTAACACGGACGTTATCATCGTTCGGGCATGGATGCTCTGGCCAATGGCACGCACTGTTAACACGGACGTTATCATCGTTCGGGCATGGATGCTCTGGCCAATCGCACGCACTGGTAACACGGACGTTATCATCGTGCGGGCATGGATGCTCTGGCCAATCGCACGCACTGGTAACACGGACGTTATCATCGTGCGGGCATGGATGCTCTGGCCAATCGCACGCACTGGTAACACGGACGTTATCATCGTGCGGGCATGGATGCTCTGGCCAATCGCACGCACTGGTAACACGGACGTTATCATCGTTCGGGCATGGATGCTCTGGCCAATCGCACGGACTGGAAACACGGACGTTATCATCGTGCGGGCATGGATGCTCTGGCCAATCGCACGCACTGGTAACACGGACGTTATCATCGTGCGGGCATGGATGCTCTGGCCAATGGCACGCACTGTTAACACGGACGTTATCATCGTTCGGGCATGGATGCTCTGGCCAATCGCACGGACTGGAAACACGGACGTTATCATCGTGCGGGCATGGATGCTCTGGCCAATCGCACGCACTGGTAACACGGACGTTATCATCGTTCGGGCATGGATGCTCTGGCCAATGGCACGCACTGTTAACACGGACGTTATCATCGTTCGGGCATGGATGCTCTGGCCAATCGCACGGACTGGAAACAGAAACGTGAGCATTTCCGGCATGCCAACCACGCGAAACACCGTAAATGCCGGTGTTTTCCGCATGTAAGCGCCGCGAAGCACTGTAAATACCGATGTTTCAGCCACGTACAGAAACGTGAAAAGTGGACAGCCGGAATCACCGGTGGCAGTGGTGTTTTCGGCATGTGAAGCACACGAAACACTGTAAATACCGATGGAATCGGCATATGCTGAACGCGCGTTTACAGAGCGTGCGGGCCAACAACAACAACAACAACAACAACAACAACAACAACAACAACAACATCAACATCAACATCAACATCAACAACAGCAACAACAACGACAACAACAACAACAACAACAACAACAACAACAACAACAACAACAACAACAACAACAACAACAACAACAACAACACCAACATCAACATTAGGAACGACCACAACCAGGGCGTGGTGCGTTTTCGAGCTGGCGGCTTTTCTCCACACCCACAACGATGAGAAGCCCGCGCAAGTTGTGGTCAAGCCCATCGTGTTTGCACCAGCTGTGTTCGTCATTGCGATTGGGGGAGTGCTGCTGATGGCCTTCGAGATCTGCCTCCCCTCACATAACCTCTTCACCCTGATGAGGGCGCTGTACCTCATTGCCTGGGGCTTGCTGGTTGCTCACTTGCTTGAGGATTTCTGGCGCCACGCCGATGTTGCTGAGGAGCAGTTCCGCACCTTCAGCTGGCAAAGTGTCACGTGCGATTGTTGCTCCATGAACCACCTCGGACCAAATGGAGAGGTCATTGCGTGCGACAAAGCGACTTAGGGATACCTGAGAACATTTGGGTTTTTGGGGTACTATACTTCCGAATTAACAAGCAGCCAGGATTCTAGTTTTTTGCTAGGGTTTCAAGTTCACTATAGGAGATATTGACGCGCTGCCTCAACCAGTGGTTTGGGTCCCAGGAGGCCTTTGAAAACCGCGTCCGGACCAGCGTGCGCGATAGCTTCTTGGGCCCGATCACCCGTGGGTTTCCTTTGGGTTACTCGTGGCAACTTGGGGCCAACTCGTATCTCGCCTGGGGCATGGCCAATATGTTCGCGAGCCGGGCCCATGCAGGGGCAGGCGAGTTTACCGTGGTGGTTCCGATCTATTGTGTGGTGTGGTGGTTGTGGTTGGCGCCAATTCAATACTTCACCCTAGGGCTGATCGCGCGATGGATACATAAGAAACACGCGGAGAAGCTTAGCCGTCCAGCGGCTTGCGCCGTGACGTTCACGCGGTACTTTGGCTATGCAATGAATTGCGGTCTACCACACCTTTACCAGCGTTTGCTGCAGATGGTCCTCGACCAAATTAGTGCAGCCTTGGTATTTGCATTTACGACCTTCAGCTGGGCATTGGTGGCATATCACATGTGGGCGAAGCCCTCGAAATGAAGGCGCTTGGAAGCCTTGTGTTGTTCACGCCCGGACCAAAACCCACGCCCAAGGTGTGGCACGGTCAAGTTCCAGAAGTAGTAGAAGTAGTAGTAGTAGTAGTAGTAGTAGTAGTAGTAGTAGTAGTAGTAGTAGTAGTAGTAGTAGTAGTAGTAGTAGTAGTAGTAGTAGTAGTAGTAGTAGTAGTAGTAGTAGTAGTAGTAGTAGTAGTAGTAGTAGTAGTAGTAGCAGTCGTCGTCGTCGTCGTCGTAGTAGTAGTAGTAGTGGTGGTGGTGTACTTAGTAGCAGAGTTTGTCACATCACGACTTTTTTGGGATCCACGTACTATAGGGTTCTAGGGAGGACGATCTGCGGAGGTTCATGAGTAACTATAAGTACTAGAGTGATAACTGGCCATGGCCTTTTTCAGGGGTGCCTCAAACCCTACACATAAATCCCATGAATGTTCACGTACGTACCCTAAGCCCTAAACGTGTAGAATATATCTCAACATCTTGTGGAGCTCCAATATCCGGAGCCTTCTGGTTTTTCAAGTTTTCTTGCACCAAACCCGCCCCGAAAGACTGCTGGAGTGAGTCGTGCGCCACAAAAGGCACATGTACGCTTGGCCGTCGGCACTCGGATGGTGTGGGAATCGCGGCCAACCCCTAAACCCTAAACCCGACACCCTAAACCCTAAAACCCTAAACCCTAAACCCTAAACCCTAAACCCTAAACCCTAAACCCTAAACCCTAAACCCTAAACCCGGTTCAGGGCCAACCTCCCAACCTCTCCCCAGCTCTTCGGACCCTTGTGGCCTTCAAGCCAGCTTTGGGGTTTGGGGTTTTGGGTTTTTCGGGTTTAGGGTTTGACCCAGAGTTGGCTCCGGCTCCCTTATACTCCCCTTTTTAACCCAAAAGGGCACCCTCTTTATTCCTCGGGTTTAGGGTTTAGGGTTTGGCCGACACCCTTCCGGTTGTGCCTAAACCCTAAACCCTAAACGCTAAACCCACCTTGTTTACGACTTTATAGTTTGTAGGGTTGTGGTGTTGCAGGCAGGTAGCGCTATAGGGCATGCTGTGCGTACGTTGCACAAAACGCAAGCCTCGTGACCGTAAGCAGCGGCTCGCAAAGCATGTACACTTCGTCATGAACACCGGGTTTATGGTGAAGGGTTTAGGGTCAACATCTGCAAACAAGCCCGAGCTCTTGACAAGGCCGCATGAAAACCCGAGCCACAGTCGTTTCACACTCCTTCATGCAGGCTCATGGTAGCGCGAACTGCCCTCGGCGTCAGCGCATATGTTCTCTGTTCGAGCCTCATGCTGGTCGCCAACAAGGTGACCCTGAGTTTGATGCCCCTGCCTGCGATCGTCTTCACCATCCAGCTTGCATCGGCAGCAGTTTTTATTTGGTTCTGCAAGATGCTGGGCGTCCTAAGTGTTGACGAGATAAGTCTGCACAATGTCAAGCTGTTGCTGCCATACACAATGTCCTTCGCCGTGGGGGTGTACACCAGCGGTAAGAGCCTGGAACATTCCAACGTCGAGACGGTCATCGTGTTTCGATCCTGCGCGCCTTTGCTAGTGACTTGCTAGCTGAGTGGTACCCTTCTCGCCCTTTTTGGGTTCTGGGCTTCCCCCGAAATGCAAAGCACTTTAGAGCTTAATACCAAAAGCAGGGTACCCTTATGACAAGATGGTTACTACCAAGGTGAGCGTGATCGAATGGGCGTTTCTGGATCGCATGTTGCCTTCGCGGAAGTCGACCTGCGCTCTAGTTGCATTGGTGCTTGGTGCCATCGGGTATCTGCTTGCTGACAGCGAAGTGAAGTTGCAAGGGGTGCAGGCGTATGCCTGGCTGCTGCTGTATCTGATGGTGATATCTTGCAACCTGACCTATGGGAAGTTGGTGACTTCAAGAGTCACCTTCGAGAGTCCTGTTTGGGGCCTGTCCTTGTACACGAACCTTCTTTCATGTCCCTGGATGGTCTTGCTTGGCGTGTTCAATGAAGAAGTCTTCGAGATTGACCGCTTTCAAGCAACGTCGAAGTCACTGGCCGCTTTAGCTGTTTCCAGTGCAATTGGCATCGGAATAAGCTGGAGCGCCTGGAACTGCACCAGGATGTTGACTGCCACCACCTACACGTTGATTGGTGTTCTTTGCAAACTGCTGAGCGTTCTTGTGAATGTGATGATGTGGGACAAGCACGCAAGCCCCCTTGGTATTGCCTGGCTCGTGGTCTGTATATGCGCAGGAACATTGTACGAGCCAGCACCCATAAGGCCAACTCCGGATGGATCAAGCAAAGGGTTGGTGTAGTGTTAACCAGATCAGGTATTCGTTGTTCTTTTGATTTAGCATTGAATAGAAACACATTGCATGAGAGAGTAACAGAATTTGCAAGTTTTGATCATGTATTCTTTGTTGATAATAAACTTTCTGCAGCTGGAATACAACTAGTATTGCAGCTGGATGCTAAGTGCTCCAACCATCGGCATGCAGTTCCGAAACCGGAACCTCCCCCTGCATGTCCCTTTCAATCTGAAGCCGCATCTTGCCCTCTCGTGCAATTTCACAAGCGTGATGCTAATGCAAGACCAGAGCGACGAAAAGGACGTGCGCGGTGACTCATTTCATGCGCCTCATCCTCTGCAAGAGCACAGCAAAAGCTTGAACAGTCGCAAACCCCAAGCCCAAGCCCTAAACCCTTAAACCCCCTAAACCCCAAACCTCAAACCCAGGACAAGGCTCCCTGGACCCGGACCAGCGAGGCGTCTTGGGAGAAGAACAGGGTGTAGGGTCAAAGGCGGTGAAGAGGTTTTTATGGAGGTTTAGAAGTATGTGAGGGGTGGGTCCCAGGAGGTCCCAGTGGGGGGTCCCAGCCTCAGAGATTTCCAGGATCTAGACCAAAAACCCTTAAGATGCTTACCCAGCTTTTTATGGTCCTTGCAGTCGCACGGTGCGGGTTGGGGTCCCTCCACGGACAAGCCACCGAGGCAACCCCCCCTACCCCCCCCCCCGGCATTTTGGGAAGGTAAAAAGAAATGTTTCACCTCCGCAAACCCACCCAACACGCCACTAGGGTCGGCGGACCCTAAGCCCTAAATCTCACTATAGTCCCCATCAAGGACTGTTAAGTATAAGGGGGAATATCTATAGGGGTTCTTCAGGGAGGGGGGTTTACTGGGGGTTTAGGGTTTAGGGTTTAGGGTTTAGGGTTTAGGGTAGCTACTAGGAATTTAGGGGCTTTGGGAGCCTTAGGGAGTAGTGGGGAGTATTCGGGAACCTAGGGTTCCCTACCCCCCTTGAACCCGCTCGGGTTGAGGGTTTAGGGTTTAGGGTTTAGGGTTTAGGGTTGAGGGTTTAGGGTTTAGGGTTTAGGGTTCAGGGTTTAGGGTTTAGGTTTGAGGGTTGAGGGTTGAGGGTTTAGGGTTTAGGGTTCAGGGTTTAGGGTTTAGGGTTGAGGGTTTAGGGTTTAGGGTTTAGGGTTCAGGGTTTAGGGTTTAGGGTTGAGGGTTTAGGGTTTAGGGTTTAGGGTTTAGATATAGTGTTCAGCGTTTCGCGGTTAGGGATTTAGCGTCTAGGGGTCTAGGAGTTTGGGTGAGTTCAGGCAGTTGGGGGTTCAGTTTAGGGCTTCGGGTTGAAAGTTGAGGGGCTCACGTTTCGGGTTTAGGGTTTAGGGTTCAGGGCCTGGCAGACTGCTTTGGAGGCCTGTTCGTCAAGACGCGTGCGTAGAGCATGAGGAAGATGACGGGCTTCCCGCGTTTTCAATATTCCCTTCGTGCCATCTAGACGTACTAGCATAGGTAGGGCGACGCACAGACCCTTAACCCTAGGCCCTAAACCCTAAACCCTAAACCCTAAACCCTAAACCCTAAACCCTAAACCCTAAACCCTAAACCCTAAACCCTAAACCCTAAACCCTAAACCCTAAACCCTAAACCCTAAACCCCAAACCCCAAACCCCAAACCCCAAATCCAAACCGCAGGGCCGCGTGTCTGATGCCTGGATGACCTGGGTACGTGACTTAGCAACCCTAAACCCTAAACCCTAAACCCTAAACCCTAAACCCCAAACCCCAAACCCCAAACCCTAAACCCTTAACCCTAAACCCTAAACCCTAAACCCCGAACCAAAGAGCTCTTGGTGGGGAGTTGGGGTTTAGGATCTAGGGGAGGAACCTGATCCCTGATACGGAGTTCGGAAAAACCCTAGAAACCCTAAAATGTAGGGTTTAGGGTTTAGGGTTTGGGTTTGGGGTTTAGGCTTAGGGTTTAGGGTTTAGTTCTCTACTAAACATACCAGGATGTAAACCCCAAGCGTTCGAAACTTGCGGACTCACAGGGACAGCATGCTAAGTAGGACCTTGGCATACCTATGAGCTTAAGAGAAGCCCTTAAAACCATCGAACTTGAACACCCGAAACCCTAAACTCTTGCATAGAAGTTTTTCAGAGGGTTTCCAAGGGCCACCATCGCATAGCATCAGAACGCTTGAAGGCCTTTGTGAGTTACCCTAACCTTGAAAACCCCAAACCCTAAGATCTGAAACCCTAACCCTAAGCCTTAAAACCCTAAACCCTAAACCTGAAACCCTGAACTCCAAACGCATGCACCCGATGCCCTGCGCCCTTGGTGTGGTTTTTCTAGGCTTTCGGGTTTCGGGTTTACGGGTTCAGGGGATGGCGTTTAGGGTTTTGGTTTTGGGGGTTTAGAGTTTAGGGCTTAGGGCTCAGGGCCTAGGGGGTTTGGTGTTAGGTGTTGAATCTTAATCGCAGAAGAGGCGATCTTGTTGAACCTACGAACACTTCAGGTTATCTTCTAAAGCCTGTCAGCCTCAAGCATTGTACCTCAACCCTGCACCCTGAACCCTAAACCCTCAACCCTACACCTCAAACCCTCAACCCTAAACCCTCAACCCTCAACCCTACTCTCAAAGCCCTCAACCCCAAACCCTCAACTCTACACCCTAAACCCTCAACCCCAAACCCCTCAACCCTCAATCCTAAACCCTCAACCCTAAACCCTAAGCCCTAAACCCCCAACCCCAAGCCCTAAACCCTAAACCCTAAACCCTAAACCCCCAACCCCAAACCCTAAACCCTAAACCCTAAACCCTAAACCCTAAACCCTAAACCCTAAACCCTACCTCAATCTCAAGACAGCCCCGGCTTCCCGAACTCCTCCGCGCCCAAGGGCGCAGAGCCTGCGGCAGAGTCAACCGTTAAGGCTGACGCATGGGGGGTTTAGGGTTTAGGGTTTAGGGTTTAGGGTTTAGGGTTTAGGGTTTAGGGTTTAGGGTTTAGGGTTTAGGGTTTAGGGCTTCAGGGCTTTGGGGCTTTTGGGGCTTTTCAGGCTTGCTGGCCTGTTTTTCGGGGCTCCTGTTGTAGTGCATACCTGATGGACTGAAGGTTCAGGGTTTAGGGTTTAGGGTTTAGGGTTTAGGGTTTAGGGTTTAGGGTTTAGGGTTTAGGGTTTAGGGTTCCCGGAAGGGGTCCAGTTTTTGGTGACAGCCAAGTCATTTCGTTCACATTTCGTAGGCCTTCCTTGACCGTCAACCCTAAACTCAAGGTTTAGGGTTTAGGGTTTAGGGCTCAGGGCTTAGGGCTTAGGGTTTAGGGTTTAGGGTTTAGGGTTTAGGGTTTAGGGTTTAGGGGTTTAGGGACCCCCCCTTCAGTGGGGTGGGGGGCGTGGCGCTTAAGCTCCTCGAACCAACTCAAGTCGTTCGCCCGTTCTCCTCCAGACCAGTACTGGTCTCTAAACCCTAAACCCCTAAACCCTAAACCCTAAACCCTAAACCCTAAACCCTAAACCCTAAACCCTAAACCCTAAACCCTAAACCCTAAACCCTAAACCCTAAACCCTAAGCCCTAAGCCCTAAGCCCTGAGCCCTAAACCCTAAACCCTAAACCCTTTTAACGTCATTACCCTAAACCGGAGCACAACCTTCTGGGCGCCCAGCCTTGAAGAACGGGGTACCCCCCAGGCCAGGATCCGGGCCCTCAAACGCTCTAAACCTCAGGCTTTAGGGTTTAGCTGTTACTGTTAGACGGCCCTCCAATGTCGCTGGGCAGAGCTGCTCCTCGCACCTGACGAAGCTTTCGAACCTTCTCAGCATCCTAACCTTCTCAGCATCTGCACCCGATTACAGCAAACCACAAACCCTCAACCCCAAACCCTAAACCCTAAACCTAAAACCCTAAACCCAAATTCCTCACCCCCCCCCCCCCCGCCCCCCCAACAAACGCTCGCCGGCCGCCCACGCTGCAGGATTGCTACCTTGTCTGTGATGCGCTGCCCTTACTGGATGTTGGCATCCTAAACCCAAGCCTAAACCCTAAACCCTAAACCCTAAACCCTAAACCCTAAACCCTAAACCCTAAACCCTAAACCCTAAACCCTAAACCCTAAACCCTAAACCCTAACCTAAACCCTAAACCCTAAACCCTAAACCCTAAACCCTAAACCCTAAACCCTAAACCCTAAACCCTAAACCCTAAACCCTAAACCCTAAACCCCCTAAACCCCCTAAACCCCCTAAACCCCCTAAACCCCCTAAACCCTAAACCCGAAACCCTAAACCCTAAACCCTGAATCCACGAGTTGAAGGGCTTTGAGGCTTGAGGCTCCTTAAGGTCCAAGGGGTCCTTGGCAGGTTGTTCCCAACCATGTAGGGTTTAGGATTTAGGGTTTAGGGTTTAGAATTTAAATAGGGTTTATAGGTTTAGGGTTTCGGGTTTAGGGTTTAGGTTTTTTCGGGTTGGCACTAAACCTGACTTGGTACCCTAAACCAGAGTATAAGGAGTTTGAGGGGGACGTTGGGGGCATTCTGGGGGCGGCATCAGGCCTGTGCTTTAAGTTTTAATCAGGTGTTCTTGCTTCTGTTCTCAGCGGCTGGCGCTTGCAGTACCCCAAGAAATTCCAGACAATGGACAACAAAGACAGGAGATCGCAGTGACGCTTGGTTGGTAGGTTTTTGTTTGCCTTGAAATGTTGTGTGTGTTCACATCTGCCATTATGTTGGAATTTTGAACACCCTATCTTTGAATTTGCTGGGGGTGAACTTTCGCCATCAAGACCATACATCCTACCAATAACAGTCCCTCCCGTTCGCCGTGCCGCCATTTTGAGCCCTGAACCCTAAACCCTGAACCCTAACCCCGAAGCCCTCAATGGCTTAGGACCTCATAGACGACTGGGTGGCCTGGAGCTTAGACAACGAGTGAGGATAGAGCTTCGAGTTTAGGGGGTTAGGGGTTTAGGGTTTAGAGGTTTGGAGTTTCGGGTTTAGGGTTTAGAGCCTAGGGCCTAGCGTTTAG